TTTCAGAAGCATTTGAGCTTCAAAAGTAAAACTTGATTGATTATTTATTTATTGGTACTGGGGATTGAACTCAGGGGTGCTTAAGCACTGCACCACATCCCCAGTCTTTCTATTAACTTAGAGACAGGGTTTCGCTGAGTTGCTTAGGGCCTTGTGCTAAGTTGCTGAAGCTGACTTTGAACTCACGATCCTCCTGCCTCAGCCTCCCAAGCCACTGGATTACAGATGACCATTATCGAGCCTAATCCACAACTTGAAAGAAGATTAAAAAAACCTTACATAGATAACTCATTTCCTTTACTCTTTTACTTTCTTCTTTTTGAATAATCTTCTCTTCTGCCTTTTTCTCAACATATAATCATATAGTATGTAACTATGATTTTTAATTGTTTTTCTTATATCAATCATTTTCTTTACTATAAATAAGTCCTTATTTTATAATAAAAAAATTCTACAAATATCAAGCATAATTTCTTTTGATATCTCTCTCTACTTGTTATAATATTTTTCAATAATATTCATTCAATAATTTATCCAAGACCTTTGACAACCAAATTGCAAAATGACTTTTTTTTACATAATCAAATAAGCTTTCACAAAGTAAATTAATGTGATTATGAATTAGTCACATAAATAAAATATTTTAAAAAGAGAAAGAAAAAGAAACATTAATGAAATTCTTTCTTATGAGTTCAGGTAGTTTGGCATTTCCCTATGTCAAATCACAGTCTAGTTTCTCCTCCATGAAATTGATAAACTGCCAATTGTTTTCCACCCTGAACCAAGCTCAGAGGGACATTCATTCACCTAGCATCCTTTGGCAAGTAAGTTGCCCATTGTTCTCTACCGCAATTATCACAGAGAACACGGTATACAATGCTCTGTGCATATGGACACTCAGTAGGTGTTACTGAGAGGCTGCTGGGTTTTGAACACTTCCAAATGATCATAATAATAAATAAATCTTGAAATAATTATCTTAAAATTCTCCTTAGTGAGCATATTGGAAGGTCAGTTGCTTAGGACTGAGCCAGACATTACAGTCCATTGAACTTATCAGTGCTTTGCACTGTGCCCGTTACACAGTAGCTACTTAACAAGTGTTGTAGGGCAAAGTGCACTTAAAGGCTCCCATATGCAGGGTAGGTAAAGGGCTGTTAAAGGGACTGAAAGATTTCAGGGAAGAAACTAAATTATCGACAAATATTTGTTGCATACTCAGTATTTAAAAAACATCCTGTTTAATTTTCTCTTCTAACCATGATGGAGTAATAAGAACTAAATTTAATTCCCCCTATAAACAACTAGAAAACTGCACAAACAGTGTTTTTTCAGGCATTTGACAACAGGTAACAAAGAAGTATAAAGCTTAAGAGAAGGGAAACAAATGAGGTGAGCCCTGCAATCATCCCCAGCTTCCTTGGAAGAAGTTTCAAACATGGGTACACAAAGAGGGAAACCGTACAGAGTTCAGAAACCTCCTGAGATGAAGAGCTGAAGACTGGAGTTTGAAGAGGGTGAAGCAGCCAGAAGTTGGAAAATTTAAGGAAAGGTAGATAACTAGGAGCCTAGGAAAAAATGGGCCGGAGAGAGAAAACTTTGAAAACAATAACAGAAAAAATTTCAAGTTAAACTAGACATAGATTCATATATCCAAGAGTCTCAATGAATTCTAAGCAACACACACATACACCAAGAAAAACAAAGGCATATGATAATTAAATTAAAAATAAATATTATAAAATATTWCATTATCAATATTTCTTTTACTCTCCACAGACACTAAGGAGAATAAAAGAAATACTGCCTTCATACTTAAGGATATTTTTTATTTTCTATTTTTATATAAGTGTAACTGGCATGTGAGGCATTGGATTTTTTTTTCCTAGAGTAGAGAGGGTAATGAATGTAAGGACTCAAATTCTACCATGGGTACCAAAGTCCATATGATTGGTTCACAGTTTGAACAGCATCAAAGAGAATTGTTTTAAAGAAGAATCCAGGAGCAAAGCAGAAATTGATGTTCTTGCATATCACTCAGTGAAAAGTCTGTTTCCATAGATGGGTCATGAACAAAAGTAGCAAAGGTAAAGAAAGTTTCAAGAATTATTCTGGTAAAAATTTTAAAAAGCTTTTCTTTGACAACAGGATCTGGACTATCTCAGAATGAAGAAATCTGCAGAAGTGATCAAAGTTGAGAAGATAATCTGGGAAAAGTCTGAGTATTTGGCTCAGGTGAGGATCTATGACCTGCAAATAGATAATTCTCTACCAGGTGAAATTTCTTAACAGTCTAAAGTGGCTCATCATTCTGCAGTTTCAGACTTGAAATCCAGAAGATTCTTGGTTCAGAAGATAGCTTGCTTCTGTCTTTGCTCTATAATTTCCATTTTCTCAGGATCAAAAACCTTCTAACGAGCCAGTCTGATTGTGGTTTTTGTTTTTTGTGAGTTCTTTTTTCCTCCAACCTGTGCTGCATAGAACTACAAAAGACACCTTCCCTAAATGCTGTCTGCATCAGATCTGTCTAAATTTCCTCAAAAACCTTCAATGCCTTGCTATTTCATTCTGTACCAAATAGGAACTCGGCCTGATTGCTAAGATCTTACCACATATGTCCCCGTTTGATCTATCTATTCACTTTTATTTCCTCAGTACTCAGTCTGTTCTATTCATGTCCAATCCTCTCTCTGCCAAGTATGTCTCCTTGTCTTCCTTTACTCAAGTTCATCATGTTCTCTATTTTTTCCACCATCTCCCCATCCTTTAAGTTCTTGTCTAAGTTGTATCTCTGAAGCTTTTCCTCATAGCTGTTCCTTCTTTTTTAATTTTTATTTTTGTTGTTGTGTTTTGTTTTCTTTATAAATCTCTGCTCATCTTGTTGCTCTAGAAAGCTTTTCAAGAAGAATCCAGGAGCAAAGCCAAAATTGATGTTTTTAACAAGTGTTGTCTGGGCAAAGTGCACTTAAAGGCTCCCTTAAGTGCAGTAGTTTTTTTCTTAAGAACTACTGTAAATCAAAATTTTGTTTAAATTTTTTAGTAAATATTTATTTCCCTATACAATGACTTAATGAATGAAATATTTTACATTAGTGTTAATTTTATGTCAGATATTAATCTTATTGAGAATTAATCCCATAATTAGTCTTTCTTCTACATTCTCAAATGCCTAAGATAGTTTTTTAAGAGCACATAGAATATCAATAGATAATTTCTGATTGATTGGTATTTCAATTCCATAATTCAAATAAACTGGCTAAAATAAGTATGCACACATGTTTATTCTTACAAATATATATTGTTACATAAATATATTTCAGCTATTTTCCCAGAAGATTATTTACTTGATTAAAATGCAATTTGATTCAAAGAGGTAGTAAATATGCAATCCAGGTAAGACAGCAAAGATTTTAATAATGTATATTTAATTGCACATGTATGTATAGTAGACATCTGTAGCTATTTCCTAATATGCAATGATTTAGGGACCAGACTCACATTGGATTCCTTAGATTATAAATATAATCTCTGCTTCAACTAAGCTATATTCCTACATTCTTTATCAACAGATAAAGAAACCAAAGATCAGAACAAGATGATGGAAACCTAGTAAGTAGCAAATTCACATTGACCTAGAGAACAATTATTGTTCTGCATCTTAAAAGACAAATGTTCACTGACGATTTCAAAGCTTAATCCTCAACCTCTCAAAAGCATCAAATGGGCTACTTCTCTTTATTTATCCACATTAATTTAAGATCATGGAACTCAAATAATACACTCAACTTCAAAGAATCCACTATAAGAACCCCTGCTTTACTATTATAGTCTCGTTTGGGGTTTATGTGTCAAATGTAATGTTTTTTGGAAGCAGCTGCAATACCTCTATTTAGTTATTTCTAGTACTAATTCTTATTTCAGAAGATTCAACACATCATTTGTGCCTGTCACACTTAGCAAGTGACCAAAACACATCATCTTTTGTATTTCCCCCAAGTACTATCATGTCAAAGTTAAAGGATAGATGGATGGAAGTTATAAAAAAAAACGTGATGTAAGTTTTGTGGAAGAAAAATGCAAAAAAGTCTAATTCCTCACGTAGGATATGATCTTTGTGGGCATACATTAGAGAATTAGTTCCAAGTTCCTAAAACCCAAAGAAGGTAAAACTAACAAAAACCAACAGCTGCATTCACTTGAACTGCCTCTTCTTCAAACTACCTCAGGAACAGACCAATAACATTAATCTCATTAAAGTTCTTTTTAGTGAGTATTTCTTACTGTAGCAAATTAGAAGTGAAAAAATTAACATAATCCTTATATCTGTACCAATCCTTAGTATCTGTACCAAGATATCAGTACATATAGTGCACATGTGATTCTTAGAACATCAGACACAAATTTTTTGAAATTAAAATATATTATGAAACTAATTCACTCATTGGTGACTCAGCTCTAAAGAAGTTGTGGTATGCTACAGATGCTAATTTATAAAATAATCTTATTCCATGACAGAATTACTGCTAAAGTACTCTAGATGAAAGAAATTCATGTCACTATATATCAAAAAATGGAAAAAAAAAAAGAAAATTAAGGCAATTTCATTATGAAAGCAGTGAAGCTAATATACTTCCCATAAGAACATAAAGAAAACCAAAGTGTGACTGTAAGGGGCCGTGTTAAATTCTTTTATTTAGCAGCCCTGAATGATCAGAGTCAGGTTGAAGCTAAATGGATTCTATGACAATTTTCTTTCTTCTCTTGGGGTTTCTTTAGTTCACAGTTCACCTGAATTAATTGTATGAAGCATAAATTTTAGAAGGAAAGAAGTGATTTCTGCTAGTGTTCAGAGAATAGCAGAGAGTCCAGACCAAATCCTCCAGAGAACCAATTATTGGGCTTCTAAACTTAAACATTCTGTGTGAAACATTTTCATCAAAGAATATAAATGTAGAAGTCAAAGGTGACTGTTTTCTTTCATTACTGTTCAAACTTAGTACCTTGTCTGACCCAATCTCCACGGTGAAGTTTATGTCCTAGAATATGGCAACATCTGTGACATCCAGAAAGCAGCTCTGCCCAGTTAATGGTCATGGTGGCCTCTTTGTCATCACATGCACTAGCAGGCCGTTCAAACAGGGAGATCAAGGCTGCCGTGAAAACAATTGCTTGGACCTTAAGTCATTGAAAGAAAAACAAACATAGGCAGGGTGATTGCTGCAAGAAGATTCTGCGTTCTTTATGATTAATAAGGAACAGATAATGAATTAATAAGAAGGTCTTCAATAATATTAAAAGAATACAGGCAAGTATAGTAAAAGACCGAACAATTATAAGACTGGCAAAGCAATTTCCAAGAATAGTTTATTATTGCTTTTAAGTACTCTTGTCTTTTAAAACAGCAAGAATGAAAAGCTTTCAAAATTAGGAAAGGAAATTGTTCAAATTAAGCTACGTGAGAGGTCCCTGGCATATTCTAGTGTCATTCAGTAAATAAGAATTTCTCACTTGTTACATGGAATTTGATAAGAAGCAAGACATCATTGAATCCAGTGTCTTGATTTCAGTGTTACCCCTCTATGCATCTCTCCCTTAATTGCATGATATAAAAAATGAGCAATCCCTAGTTGACTGGCCCTGAGAATCTCAAAATCTTATGAATGAAAATCAGAACAGTTCATTTGAAAGACTTATGATAGATAAGTTTAGAGATTTCATATTAAACATTCATTAAAATTGGGATCTGTTAGATTAAGTATTCTATGGTATATACTTAGTGAGATTTTTTTTAAAGAATGAGTGAAATGCAGTGATACACAGACTAAAAAAAAAAAACACAGTAAAGATTTGATTGTATAGGCAAGAAGATAAATTATAATCTAATACATCTCTTTATGTCCAAATGTGTGACTTTATAATTGATAATGTAGTTCAATCAGGAGATCACACTGATGCCATTTTAATTGATAGCATGAGCTACAGTTTGGTGATTACATTCCCATACTGTTCAGTCTTATCCCTCCCTCACTTACCTTTCCAGTTATGTCCCCAAAAGAAAGAATTGATTCATTGGCATCAAGAGGATCGCACCAATAATCCATGCAAATTGGTGTTCCTTTCAGGCCTTGGAGTTTATATTGACAAGGAAATTCTTTGGACAGTAGATCATAGAAACAAATCTCTTTACTTGTAAAAGCCACTGCAATCTAAAGTAGCAGAATAAAAAATTAGCAAGTCTTTCTGATGGATTTAGTGAAATCAATATGCAAAGCAGATATACAAATCTGATCTCCAAATCAGACATCGTTCCTGAAAGTCTTTAACAGCATTATGAAAATGTAGCACAGTGGCACACATGAACTTTATTCCAACTTTGGACTGTAGCCCAAAAAGAATTTTTTTTTCCATTAAAGACATTTGAACAAACTTTCTTTCCTATTTCTACTCCACACAACCACTGACATCTCTGTCCATGGGAGGCTAGATAGCCCTTCACATGGGAAAGACAATACAGAGAGCTATAGCATCCCACAATCGTACCCAAAACTTTACTAACCATGTTTTATGAAGTAAACAGAGATGCTCACAGAAATCAATTAATAAAACTGCAAGAAGTTTTATTCTTAGTCATATAAAATCCTGAAGACCATTTTTAAAAGGCAAATTATTAACTTAAAAATCAGTCAATAGAAATGATCCCTATAGAAGGCCACATGTTGGATTTATTAGGCAAATATTTTAACTCAAATATTATAAATATTTTAAAGCAATAAAGAAACCAGGCTTGGTGGCAAATATGTATAATCCCAGCTACTCAGGAGGCTAAGGCAAGTTGAAGCCTAACCYTGGCAACTTAATGAGACGTTGTCTAAAATTTGGGCTGGGATGTAGCTCAGTGACAAAGCACCTGCCTTGCATACAGGAAGCCCTGAGTTGGATCCCCAGTTCCGGGATAAAAAAAAAAAAAAAAATTTAAAAGACAATAAATTAAATTTAATACAAATTTTTAAAAGAGCCAAAACAACTAAAGGAAACAATATCTAAAGAACTAAATTTATGAGACAGATATCTCATCAAAGAGAGAATATCAATAAACATGTATAAATTATTAAAGTAAAGAATCATATCATTTGATTGATTTAGACTTAATATAATTACTGACAAGGTAGAATTTACATTTGCATTTTTCTAACAACAGAGTCCCAAAATTCATGGAGCAAAAACTAAAAGAGCTGGAAAGAGAAATCAGCATTTCAACAATTTCCCCACTTTCAATAATGAAGAGAACAAATGGACTGAGATCAACAAGAAAATAGGAAACAAAAAATGAAAGAAAACAAAAACACAATTGTAATTACTTCTGAAATCCAGTAACAACTGTGCCTAGATTGAAATTTGTAGTTGTAAACACCAGAATAAATAAAGATATCAAATCAGTAATCTAACTTCTCAGATAAGAAATGATAAAAGAGGTAAAAACTAAACAAAAAGTTCAATGTTTTCTCTGGTATGCAGCTGCTAACTCATAAAAAGGGTGGGGAAGTGGATAGAGAAGAATAAAAGTACTTTGGTTTAGAAAAACCAGAATGAAGGGAAGGGAAGGGTATGGGAATTGGAAGGACAGCAGAATGAATTACTATCCTATGTGCATATATGCTTATACAACCAATGTAATTCCATATCATGTACAACCAAATGAACAAGAAGTTATACTCCATATATATATATATTATGTAAAATACATTCTATCATGTATACCTAATAATAACAAATAACAAATATATATGTATACATATATATTTATCAAGAGGCAGAATGAGGCATCCCTTTAATTAGCTCCATCAACTGATAGAACATGTAGCAATCAAGAGTATATATGAACTACATTTCCAAAAGGTAGAAGGAAGCTGACCCAAAACCCTAGAGTCATCCTTGGAAGACAGATGGCAGATGTATTCAGGTGACATAGAAAAGGACATTTTAACCACATCAAAAGATAAACAAAGGTCATAGTGTTTTAACTATGTATAAGGTTCAAAATTGTTCTTGTGTGTATATTCTATGTGTGTTGTTTTCATGTATTCTTTAATGGAACTATTAATTCTACTATTTAAAGATAGTATGTTAAATATCATAATATTATTTGTGAAAGGATAATTGGATAGAAAAATGTGATTATATTCTGCTCTTCACTGTACCAAAACCATCACATAAGCCACATGAAAACCAATAAGGTATTGTTGCTCACATAATGCTGGTCTGTCCCAAGATCAGGCAAAAAAGAGGACAGTACCAGCTGCTGACAAATGCATGTTAAACATGTATCTTCAATCAACAGTGTCAGTGTGGTTTGATTTTGCACTATTAATGCAGTTTGTGAACTGAAAATGATTTTCGTTTCCTGCTTCACCATATGCCCAAATAATCAATAGCTTGAGAGAACAAAATAAAGCCAATGATTGCTGGCATTTATTAAATTAAAAATAAAACCTAAACATAAATTAAGAAAAAGGAAAAAATAATAAAAATTAGTTTAAAATATTTTTAAAATAGAGAATAGGAAGGCAATAGAGAAAATCAACAAAACCAGACTTGGTTCTTGAACAGATCAAAAATATTTTCCAACTTTTAGTTAGACCAACCAAAACACAGAGAAAAAGAGAAAGAACTATAACAAACAAGATTGAATCAGAATATACAAAGTTCCCACAAAGAATATTGCAGTGAAGATTACTCCACTGATAAATTCTTCCAAATGTTTAAAGAATGATTAATGCCAATTCTTCTCAGATTCTTCCTATGAAATCGCCTTGTCAGGTCAGTATTATCCTATTACTAAAACCAAAGACACCAAAAGAGAAAACTAAAGACCAATATCCCTTGTGAATATAGATGTAAAAATACCCAACTAAATACTAGAGRAGAGAATATAGCAAAACACACCAAGACATTACATAGTATGAGCAAGAGATATTTATCCTAATAATGTAAGGTTTTTCAACATACAAAATTCAATCTAGGGGGGTAGAGGAAGATGGCAGAATAGAGATGGTCCATTCCTAGATATTCTGTGGCCTGAAACCAAGAAAGCAGTTTCGCAGTTTCTCAACAAGGTGGGTGAAAGGAAAAAGGGGGGGGGGGGGACTTTACTGGGAATTAATACTGGACATTCAAAGCAGAATGGGGACTCAGGAGTTTGGATAAAGTAAAATAAAGAAGAAATCCTCCTTGCCACCACCACTGCTGCTGCTGCCTATACCAGCCAGAGTGGTTCCCCAGAAACTAAGTGGAGGGATGAGGGAATTAAAGGAACCTGCATTTTTAGCAGGCCTGTGGCATATCTGGGTATGAAGAGATCAAAGATTGAAGACACTTCTGGACTAAACTGAATGATGTGATGCAAACTATGCTTGTGCGAGAAAGAAGCTCATCTTTCTCAGTTGCCTGCAGAGCACAGAGGAAGGAGCCACTTTGCAGCCACACTGTGGGGGCAAAAGAACTAAACAGATACTTTTCAAAAGAAAAAATATGAACAGTCAACAAATGTTGGCCAGGATGTGGGGGAAATGGTATGCTCATATTGCTGGTGGGACTTCAAATTAGTACAACCACTCTGGAAAGCAGTATGGAGATTCCTCAAACCATCAAGAATGGAACCACCATCTGACCTAGTTATCCCAGTCCTCGTTCTATATTTAAGGGAGTTAAAATCAGCATACTATAGTGACACCACATCAATGTTTATAGCAGCTCAATTCACACTAGCTAAGCTATCACACCAACCTAGGTGTCCTTGAACAGATGAATGGACAAAGAAAATGTGGTGTATATACACAATGGAATATTACTCAGCCATAAAATAGAATGACTTTATGACTTTTGCCAGAAAATGGATGGATCTGGACACTATCATGCAAAATGAAGTAAGCCAATCCCCAAAAACAAAAGCTTGAATAGTTCCTCTGATATGTGGATGCTAACACACAACAGAGGAACAGGAGGAATAGAAGTTCAGTGGATTAGACAAAGGGAAATGAAGAGGCTGAATGGGAGATAGGAATAGAAAAGACAGAGGAGTGAATTGTACATAACTTTCCTATGTTCACATATGAATACACCATAGTGAAACGCCACATTACAGCGTGCAACGCAAGAATGGAATCCTAATTAGAATAAGTTATACTCCATGTGTATATAATATGTCAAAATATATTTGCTGTCATGTATATCTAAAAAGAACAAATAAAAAATCAATCTAAGAAACCATTTTAATAGACTAAAGTATGAAAACTATATTATCACAGAAATAGCAAAAATTGAATTTAACAAAATTCAACATATTTTCATAAGAAAAAAAAAGCCAATAAGCCAGGAATCAAAGGGAACTTACTTCTGGTAAAGACCATGTACAATTTAAAAAAAAAATTCCAGCTGTTATCATACTTAATGGTGGAAAACTGGATGCATTACCCCTAAATTCAGGAACAAGACTAGAATGTGTACTCTCATCACCTCTATTCAGCATGGTTCCAGAGGTTCTGCCCACAGACATTGGACAAGGAAAAGAAAATATATCTAGTTTGGAAAGAAAAGATTTAAATTATTTCATTTATGGATGACATAATCTTACAGAAAAACCACAAAAATCTAAAGACCAAAGAAATAAGTTCAGCAAGATTGCAGGATATATATTTGGTTTGTGTTTGTTTTTGTTTTTGTTTTTTAAAATCTGTTGTATTTCATTCAATGAACAACCTGAAAATGAAATAACCAAAGGCAGTATTAGGAGAATAAAAAGACAAAACACAGATTGGATGAGATATTGTAAAGTCTACATCTGATGAATCTATACACCCAAAATATATGAATAACACCAAACACTCAACAATAAGAAAATAAATCTGGGCTGAGGCTGTAGTTCAGTGGCAGAGCACTTGCCTTGCATATTTGAGGCACTGGGTTCGATCCTCAGCAGCACATAAAAATAAATAAGTGAAATAAAGGCATGCTGTCCATCTACAACTACTATATATATATATATATATATATATATATATATATATATAGAGAGAGAGAGAGAGAGAGAGAGAGAGAGCACTGGATTTATTTTAAGGCAAGAAAAGAAATCCAATAAAAATGGGCAAAAATATTTAAACAGAAACTTAACCAAAGTAGATATATAGGTAGCAATAAGCATATGAAAATTACATGGTTCGTAATTATAAAAGTTTATTAAAACCACAATATTCCAATATAAACATTTTTTAAATGGCTAAAATTAAGAAAGAACAATATCTGATCTTATCTAGTGTTGATAAGGAGTTGCTATATATCTACATGACAGAAAGATGAAGAGTAATTAAAAAAATAAATTATGGTTTCACCTAACAACACAAAAAATCTCAGAATAATTATGTCAAATTTAAAAATCCAGGCCAAAAAAAATTAAAAAGGAGTACATCCAGTAAGACAATTATATAATACTCTAGAAGATGCAAACTGATCTATAATGACAGAATACAGATCAGTGCTTGCCTGACAAGTAGAGATGGGGTGGGAGGCTTACCAAAGGGTGCCAGGAAACTTTTGAAAGTGATGGATATGCTCATTATCTTTGTCATGCTGTTAGTTTTTCTTGGGTACATACATATRTTAACAACTATCAACTTGGGGCACTTTTAATATTGGTAGCATCGTTTGTTACTTATGCCTCAATGAAACTGTTCAACAGAAAGGCAATATGAAGATTCTATGTAGAGTGACTACAAAGGACAGGCTAAGATTTAGTTATCAGTCCTAAGAAGAAGAAACCCTGCAAGACGAATATCATATGATGATAACAGAATGCTGCACACAAATGTAATCTAGACTAGAACTGCGTTTTAATCTTTTAAACTGTCTTTTAATCCCTTTAAGTTTTAGCACTAAATCCTTAGCAAAGAAATGGATACAATACCAGCAGCCACTGTGCAGGCAGTGAAGACACTAAGGCACAGGCTCTGAACACCAGTTGTCTCGGTGTACAAGTTGTGGCAACACTATTTGCATCCCATGGTCCCAAAAAAGATTAACAACTTCTTGCTCACTCTCTCATCCTTAAAGTGGCACTATTAGGAACTTGGTGGTGATCTTGAAAGGAGTAGAAAATCAGGGCATGTTCCATAGGAAGCTAGTGACACTGATTTTTTATGGTTCCAGGCAGTGGTGCATACACTTCCTACTAAAAAGAACCTGACTTTTCAGAGAAATGGCTGATTCTAGGTCTGGCACAGGAAATATACAAGACAATCCTGGAACATCTTGTCGTACCAGGAAGCAATGAAACTTTCAAAGACYGTTATAGTTATAAAAAGACTCAGAAGATAACTTGTGTTAGTTCCTACTGTGTAAAGATGGTACGGTTTTTGCAGGAGATAATAATTCATTGGATTTTAAAATCAACTTTTTAAACCTATGAATTTTCAAATTTATCAGTAACAATAATGRTATTAGCACTCTTTGTTCATCTTTTAGATGCACAGATCCTTTGGATCCTTTTAGAGGATATCAAAACAGCTTATTATTTTGAAAACTGGTAAATAAAAGTAAAGAACGGGGCATTTGTCCTGTCTTGTGYGATTTGTCCTGCATGATAACTAAGTCATTCATGAGAGAAGTTTCTTTCTATACAGAAATTCCATATTATAAAGGGAGAAGAAATGATGATGTTAGAATATCATCATCATCTGGCAACCTCTAATATGTGGATGAGTCTAGAAAGAATTGGCTTTAAATGTTAACATTCCCAAACAAACAAAAAAAAAAAAATCAGGCATTTGTACCTCCTGAATGAAATGAAGCAAACAAATCTGAAACTGGTTGGGGCCTTAGACTTGACTACTGATTTGCTGGATATAGGAAACTCTCAAAGACAAATATCAAGTTTCTTTAACACAAGTGCAGTTGAAATAGCAAAAAAATCCAAGAAAGAAAAAGAGATGAAGGAAAATGCATAGATCAAAAGAGACATATCCCGGTAAGGAYGTATGTAGCTCAGTGCCTGCTTAGCATGCCCAAGGCCCCGGTTCATCCCCAATACTGCAAATAAATAAATAAAGTAACAGAGAGAGAAGGAGAAAGGGGTGATGGGAGGGTGGGGAAAGATAGATGAACGATTCACAATATGTAGACCTTAGATCTTGATTCAAACAAAATATTTAAAAATCATAAGACAATTAGGGGAATATAATATTTATAGATGAAGTGATTTGGTACTTTGGATCTTAACCAGGAAGGCATATATGAAACAAGATTAGCCATGACTTTAAGATGGTTATAAGGGTGGATCCAGAATACATCAATAGATCCTTAATGCTATTCTCTCTGCTTGTGTATGCATTTAAAATTGTTCATAGTAAAATTTACTATTTGCTGTTTAATACATTAAGAATGCAGAGATATTTGGACTGAGTAGGCCCTACCTATTAGAATTAAGAAACTGACTAGTACAGTGGTCAAACTCAGATAACCATTTCCCCTTAATTSCATTAAACTGTGCCACATATTATAATTGCCTGCATGTGGATCCATGATTCTGCTGCAAACTGGGAAAGGAGTGGTAGTCTTTAAGCTAATAACAGCATGGCCACATGTGGGAGAGATCCAGAGCCTGAGTCCTTATCAGTGGTGTCATCTTAAGGTATCCAAGAGAACAGTCTAGGAACTGGAGCAGCTTACTTCGCTTTACTTGTATTTCCTCCAAGTCAGATGAAAGGCACCAAGAGTAATGCAGCTCTCTGTCACTGCTGCGGTTACACTTGATATTGATCAGAAGCCCTGTTCCCTCATTTTCCCCCTCCGTCCATCCTCAGCACTGCAAATARATAAATGATATAAAACAACAGAGAGATTTACTTGTAAAGACTTTGTACCTTGTTTACATTTTCCAGAGAAACCAGACACGTCACCCACAGGTGTTTCAGTTTGGTGGCATCTGAAGTGATAGGAAGTGTTTCTTGTAGCTTTAAATTTTCTCCCCAGATTCCTAATAAGCCTTCTTTACTGATAGTCAGATAATGACCTGAACTTTTTAAGAAAATTATCTTTTGAATGGTGTCCTTGTGTTTTCCTGGGAGGAATTCAAGGTCCTTCCACTGGGGAACCACAGTTGCCTTTGTCCGTGCATCTTTCTCATAAAGTGATAACAGGATAAATGAAGTCAGCTTGTTCCAGTTAATGAAGCCCTCCYGGGCCACATCCACTTTGTCAAAGAGCTCTCCATATTCTTCTGCTGGGCCCCAACCAACAGTCTCGGTCATCTTATGCATGAATTCTTCTCTGGACATACAAATGGTTTCCCTTGGGTCTGGAGACTAAAAATGGAAAAAAAAAAAAAAAGACCATAGTGAAAGCATCCACAGGTACAAGAGCATCATGCTACCCCCAGAACTGGCTTTAATTAACAGTTCTTCCAAGATGCAAAGAAAAATGTCTTTTACTTTATAGTGATATCATATTTAAGTGAATTTGGGTGACAGGAAAAATTATTTCCAGGGCTAGAAGCTGATATCTTCAATTATAAACATCTTTATAACTGGAAGAGGAGAGCAGGAGAGTCAGAGAAGGTGTGCCAGTGGAAGAAGAGGAGGGGATACTAGCCAAGGACTGCAGACAGCCTTTAGAACCTAGAAAATGAGAGGAAAGGATTCCCTGCTGGAGCCCTCCTGCAACCCAGACACTATCTGGATTTTAGCCTTGTGAAACCCATTTTGGACTTCTGACTTCCAGCAAATTAAGAAATTTTCATTTTGAAGCTACCAAATTTGTGATAATTTGTTAGAGCAGCATTAACAACTTAATATAGTGCTTCACAGAAAATGAGTGAATCTCCCAAGAGGCTTTAGCTCAGTCAGTGAAATTATACTGTGGTGAAACTTTAATCCAAGTGCAATAAGTYCACTTCTGTAAACAAACCATTACAGAAACAATGAAACCACAGACCGCTGAGAATTGCTGTTCATGCTAATGTTCTATAGAGTATAAGTTAGCAGATACTGAAGTACTGTTTTTCAGGGGGGAACACAGGATCAGGTTTCTGCAGCTCTCTGGTCACCCCATTTTCATAAGCAGCTGAATGCATAATTTTTTTATGTGTATTTTAATTTAAAGATTCTTTCTTTAATATTATGGTAAATTCATCACAATTGAACTCATAGGCAACACCATTGTAACTCTTGCCTGAATGAAGCTAACTCACKGATTTTCTCAGTAAGGCACTTCACAGCCTTCTTGCGCTTTGAAATGCTAAAAAGCACTTTGCCACTACACCTGGGGGTCCTTTAAAATAGCAAAATCATCAACAAAAAGCACAGAAATGAAAAAAGATGGCACTAGGTAGATGGAGAAAGGATGCTTATTCACAGTGTGAAAGCTGGAACAAAGAGGCAGAGGGTCGCCTTACTTGACCTCAGATTGAAACGTGTGCATTCGGATACTCAAATTTTTCCCTAGTCTTCACATGATGGCAAAGGACCATGAAAATACYATGTGTACTGATTTTGGGTTATAAACATATTTTTAGAAGTAGATAAATTCACAAAGAGGAATCCATGAATAATGATGATTATATTTTGAATAAATATATTGCTTAATATTGATAAGCTTTTCGCTGCAATTTGCAATGAGTCAATCAACTTTTCCTACTACCCTGGAGCAAAGGGTCAAGATTGACAGCCCAGGAGGCAGCACATTACCCAGCTGGTGAAACAGATGTAGGTTTTATCCTGATTCTTCCAGTATTTTAAAATCTACCAGCAAGCTACTTCATTTCTGAGCCTTAATCCCTACATCTGTACAATGGGTATCACAGTATCAGTCATGATAAAATTGTTGTAAGGATTAATTGAGGTATCATGTGTGCAAGAACTGGGTAATCAGATGTTTAATAAAGCTTAGTCCAGGCTTTTAATTAACTAAATTAATTTTCTAAGAAATAATTAGCATCAGGCCATTTGAACTAATCAGAAATGTAGCAATCTTGCCCAGTTCAATKGTGCATGCCTATGATCCCAGTGGCTTGGGAGGCTGAGGCAGGAGGACTGTTAGTTCAAACCCAGCCTCAGCAATTTAGCAGGCACTAAGCAACTCAGTGAGACCCTGTCTCTTAATAAAAGGGCTTGGGATCCTGCTCAGTAGTTGAACCTCTGAGTTCAATTCTTTGCACCCAAAAAAAAAAAAAAAGGAACAGTAGTCTATCATTCTTATCCTTATTAAATTATCTTTTAGTCTAGAAAGTTTAGATTGATGATAATTTTTCAGTGACCCAGATTTTAGTGCAGAGAAAGATTTAGCACAGAGAAAGAAATCTGGGCCTAAAATCACTCCATCTGAACCCAAACTGCAAACTGTTTTTGAAAACTAAGTCAATGTTGATCWTTATTTTAAACTATTACATAATGGCATCAATCAATCTCACATATATTATGATCTCATTAATAAAACAACATTTTAAAGCAGAATCTCAGTGCATTTTCTTCCTATGGGCTAGTAACTTCTTTTTATTTCTAAGAATATTCTGACAGACATTGAAACAATTTTTTTTATATTCAAGAATATGGTATTGTGAATATACATCAGCAACAGATTTTCTTCCCCCCAATACCATAAGTAATTAAGGACATAGTTTTCTGCACATTAATAATGCCAGTATACACTGGTRAAGAGAGAAAAATATTCTCAATTTATGAAATTGATTAAAAACTAAAGTCCAATTGTTTCTTTGCTCTCCATGACAATTTCATTACTATTGTTCACCCATTACTTTTTTTTAAATTTGGAAATAAAACCATATTTTTACCATATTTTTGGTTAAAACTTTCACAGTTTGTTATTACTAAAAAATTCTATCTTATTTCAAGAGGCATTATGTCTCAACGAATATGTGGCTTGTGTTTATTCTATTACATGCTAGCTTGAATAAATTACTTACATGTACTGTTAAAATTCTTGTTATGGTTTGGATATGAAGTTTCCCCCAAAGACTCGTATATTAAAGGGCTGGTCTCSGATGCAGCAATGTTTAGAAATGGAAATTTTGTGAAGTGATTGGATCCTGAGGACTGCAACCTCATGGGTGGATAAATCCATTGAGAGATTGGATGAACTATTGAGAGGTGATGGAAAATGTAGGAGGTGGAACTAGTTGGAAGGAGTAGATCTTCAGGGGTATGCCCTTGGCAATCATATCTTATCACTTGTGGCTTCCTTTCTTCTGAGTTTCCCAGCTGCAATAGGTGAGCAGCTCTGCTCCGCCACACCCTGTCTGCCCGGCTGCTCTTGTCTCACCACAGGCCCATAGCAATGGAACCAGCCAGTTATGAACTAAAMCCTCTAAAATCAGGAGCCAAAATAAATCTTTCTTGCTCTAAGTTGTTTTGTTTCTCTCAGGTATTTTGTCACAGTGACAAAATACTAACTAACACAGTATTTGAATTTTTATATAAGCTGAAAAGCACAAAGGATTTGCATTAACTGCACAATTTATAYTGATTTTATCACTGGTTCCCACTTTGCCCTCTGGGACTAGACTTAATTCACTTATTYCATCTTACCATACATATTCACTCTGTTGTAGAGAGATTGTGTGGTAGTATAACTGAACTATAAGCCCCAGCCATAGTTAATGCACCTCTAAATATAAATAATGATAACTAACTTAGTGCTATTCTTAGGATTAATGGATAATTTCAGGTGTATATACCACATGAAATAATTGAATGTGTTGATAGTACACTTATACTCGATAAATGTTAATTCCTTGCTAAAGGGTCTAAAGAATATTAAGAACTATAAATCAAGTCATCAATAACTACTGGCTGAGAATTTACCTCAACTCATCTGTGTAAAACTGAGGTGTCAATCTTTAATTTTACTATACTATCTTCTCTATCAAGAATGGCTTGTTGCAAATTGAGTGATTCTGAGATTTCTTGTTGGGATGAAAAATATGTAGAGGAGACTCCACCAACAGGATAATCTGAGGCTGTCTGTTCTATGACCATGGCTCTCATGGCTGTAKAGATTGGTTTTGAGATTAAAATGAGATAACTGTACACACTCTTCCAGATGCTCTTCAAAAGCAAAAACTGTCCTAAGTGAGCCTTGTGAAAGCAAAATTCACCTTTTCCCAGAAACTTCAGTTATTTCACGTCCTCATGATCAACATTCCATCTTGCCTTGTGCCATTGGAGTCCACTGTGATGTGAGGTGAGCTGAGGTCCCACATTGGAATTCTTGGAAAGAGGCAACCCCGTGGAAAAGAACCTAAGAGACCCTTCAATCTAAAAATGAACTTGCATATACCATGATTTAATTGTCAAAAACTCTGAGTTTATATTAATTTCATATTAGTTTGATTTTATATTATTTTGTTCCTTATAATAATTTATTTTTTGTATCACTGATATACGAACAAAAACATACGCACATTTGTTAAAATTAATATTAATTTAGTTAGCATCTGGATTTTATGCCTGAATTTGCACACAATATTTGTGTAACCTTGAGGCAGTCATAACCTCTCTCAGGGTTTATATGAGGCTCCAATAAGAAAATTCATATAAAGGACCATCTTTACATTAAACAGCTATATTCAAATATATTGTGGTTGAAGACCTTTCCATATCCAGCTAAATTCACAAGCATATATTTAGTATAGACAAGGAACTATTAGGAACTTACAAAATTTGATTTCATTACAAAACATAGTGCATCAAATAATTAATTCTCATTCCTTTCAATTGAAAGTTTAATTACTGTGGCATTAATAAAACCTTCTTCCCAACRGAAAAATGCATTTCAAAATGAATGTCAGCCTTTCAGATAAAAACTACCTGAGAGTATTTTCAAAGAAATATCTTTTCACTCCTGTTAATCAATATTCTGGCTGACCTTTATGAATTAGAAATTGGTATTCTTGCCCCTCTTAAAATAATACTTCCGGGGCTTCAGTTGTAGCTCAGTGGTAGCACACTTGCCTGGCATGTGCGAGGCACTGGGTTTGATCCTCACCACCATATAAAAATAAAAAAATAAAAGAAAGACATAAAAAAATACAATAACATAAAAAATATAAATCAAAAAAAACAACAATTCCAATGAAAGTGAAAAGTATCTGAGCAATTAGAAAACATATTCTTATTCAGCACTTCCCAAGATAGCATTGTAAATTTATTTTGCTGTATCTATTTAACTATTGAAAAAGAAAATAACCAGATATTGTCTCTAACAGTTCTTATAAGAACCAGAAGACTAATATACTCAAAAAGGTCTGGCTGATTGTCCCACTAGGCACAACTTTATACCTTTAGGAAAT